GTGCTTAATGCCATCGGCATACACCCAATTAGACGCGCATAGGGACTTGCAAGTCGATATTGCGTGCGCGTGTGGCGCAGTGATCGGAGCTGCCCTGAAACATACACGTCGAATCGTTCCATTCCACGTGCCTATGGGCCCATCAAGCTTTCCATTCTTCCGGTATCGGCAAATTGCTACCAGACTTGTCTGGGAGGATAGTATCGCTGGCTTGATACATCGATTGGCCACCGCAACTCATTGTAAAGGCCAGGTATGCATTCAGTCACCTCCAAACGATGCTTAATGAGGTAGAATGCAAGGATCATCCCTCAGAGGTTGATCAACGCCGAAAGCTCTATCCTTTATTTATTTTAAGTCAATATTTACAGCGGACACAGCTACTTATTGTTTCAAAAACTGGCTTTCCTCTAACCTCGGTGTGACATATCAGAATAAATTGTTAATTGATAAACTAACACGAGGTTGATAATAAAATTTTTTACCCGGCTAAAATCTCGGCGCCTTCGCCTTTTTCGAAGCCGGATTGATCCGAGCCCATGTCCACAGAGGTTCGTACTCGTGTTTTGGTCTTCGTAGTCGTTCAGGTGAAATGTTCTCTAGTGGTGTACCGCTCGAATGACGTAACTCTGGTAAGTCTGCGGTGTCCTATTACCACAGGAGAGTTGCTAACACTCCAAACTACTATAATTGTGTATTCGCCAAGTCCATCTAAGCTTTAGAATAAGCATCCCTTTATTATTTTGCATATAGACCACTTATCACATTTTTCGCTTGGTAATGGTCACAAACTAGAAGATGTTTCGAGGTGGCTTCGTATGAATAGGTTTCTAGATTACCCATCTTTCACGAGAAAATCTGCTCCATCCACTCCAGAATAGCACCCGAATTACAACTGTCTTTCCCTACATCAGTTTTTCTTTAAAAGTACTAGTAAAACAATGGCTAAGGATGTCTTGCGTTGTACATGGTCTTTGCATCGATACAGCGACCCGCTTGGACTATACCAGACCTCTCGAGGGTCTGCAAATTTCCATCGCAAAGTTTTCTTTGAAAATGAAAAACACTTTGTTGATAACTTCGTTGATGCTGAGATGTTTGAAGAACTCCGGACCGCAGGTGTCTGAGGTGGGGAACGAACGCGCTGCTGTCCTTTCCGGGTAGTAACGCGTTCACCATCACACCATGCTGGTCCTTCGTTTCGCCTCTCTCTCAGCTAGCACTATCGGTCCTTTGCCGTCAGCAGTCACTCAATTAAGCTGAGGCTGCAGCTGTAATCACAATTTTAACTTATTATTTACCGCCTACTCTTTTTAAAGGCAGGATATATTGCGAAACTGGGATATAACTGAGTTCGTTGCCGATTTGGGACCCCTAGATCAATCCCGCAGACGGGTGATTGCTAATGGCAAAACATCGATAGAACTAGCTGAGAGAGACAGGCGAAACGAACGACCCTCATGGAGTGGTGGTGAAAGCGTTACTCCCGGGAAAGGACAAGAGAGCGCGTTGGTTCCCCACTGCAGACACCTGCCGTCTGGAGTTTTGCAAATATCTCAGCATCATTGAAGTTATATTTCACAATGTATAACCTGCCGTTAAAAAAGAGTAGGCAGTAAACAGTAAGTTAAAACTTTGTTAATATTTCCTTAAATAGCTAAGTTTATAAAAGGTTGTTAGGAACGTCGCACGGTTTATCCTTTATCACTTAATCTTGGTTTTTCCTTACAGACTATTTTTCCTTCTTACAGACTATTTTTCCTTAGAACAGACGACGAACATGGGGCGTGCAGATATAGTTCAAGGATATACACTTAAATCATTGATCAGTTCGATAGAGATGCACTGTTACTCCAAATTCATATTGCATTCGTTTCTTAGGAACTTCAGAGAACAATAAATTTTTAATAATAATGAGAATGTGTCGTTTTCTTGTTCAGCAATCACGAGGTTTTTAAACAGCATACATTTACTTCCATAGAAGAGCACAATACAGCACAGCACTAGCTGACGTTTTGGTAGTATCGCCTTCTTCAGAGCCTGGAAGGGTATACTGATATACAATCTACTAGGCCAAACGCTTCAATAACACTTACAAAAAGGCGAAAAACCTTATGGTTATGGTAATTACATGATCAACAGCTTCTCGAAAAACTCACCGCCTTTTTCGTGACTTCCAATGAGGAAGTTTGGAGCAGCTGATTATAGTCGCATACGGTTGACGACAGCACCATCCCACATCAAAAATCGATGCGAACGTACGGGATCAGGTCGCGTATGACCCCCGGGGATTTACCCCTGCTATTGATTGTAGGTTTTTGGCATTTATCCAAAAAGCCTCAAAAAGTTTTCGCGCTGGTGTTTTGGACTCCTGTGCAAGGATATTGACTTTCACTTCAAAATCGTCTCCGCTTTGCTTTCGTATCCTGTGCGTGCCTAGTGGGGTACTTTGTCTTAGTTTTCGTTTCCCATCTAGGTGTTCTCTTATACGGATACACAAAGGTCTGCCCGTTTCGCCAATATATTCATCTCCGCAATTGTTACACGAGATCAGGTATATCGTACCTGAACTCATGCAATCACCGTCCCTGCCGTAAGGGCAAATTACGCAATTTGTTGTTTCACACAGACAGTCATACAGGCGGTTGCGAACTAATTGGCGACGTAGAGTAGTCGGTGGTATTTCAACTATCGCTACCGATTCCTCTAGACCTGCCCTTCTTAGGCATCGTTTTATAGCTACGCTTACTTCATCGCTTATAAAAGGCAACATAAACGGGATTTTCTTTTGGTCAAGTGTTTCGCGTGGGCGCGTCGTTCTCCCTGTAAACTTATCTCGTGGGGTTACCATTTTGTAGCCATTGGAGATGGCTATTTGCCGAGCCAAGTCGCGCGATTCTTCCTTCAGTTCCTTGGTAGTGCACACAGAGATGGCTGTTCGAAACATGTTACTGCCGAAACGTCAGCTAGTGTTGTATTGTATTGTGTTTTTCTATGGAAGTAAATGTATGCTGTTTAAAAACCTCGCGATTGCTGAACAAGAAAACGACGTGTTCATATTCCAATGCTGCAATGCTGAGGTTAATAGAAAGTCGATCCTGGGAATAATAACAATAATGCTAATGTTTTCTTCATTTCAGATGCAGTGAGAATTGTCTCTGGGATTGACCAAAAGAACCTGTGCGATCACAGAACCTAAGCAGGTATAACCACCATAATTTCATGTTTTCTAAACATAAAATATTATCACAGTGATGCTAAGATATTTGCAAAACTCCGGATCGCAGGTGTCTGCGGGGGGGATCGAACACTCTGTTACCCTTTCCGGGGACTAACACATTCGTTCCTCACCGTAGATACGTAGAATATTATGGCCGTTGAAGATCAAGCAACACTTTTAGCATAAAACCTCGAATTATATGATGCCAAAATACAACAGTAGTAGTTTTCCAAGAGAAAGTACTAGTTTTCAGCTAGTAAGAAAACAGATTCATTCATTTTTGAGTATTCAGTGTACTGCTTCTCATGTTCTGTTTCTTTGCTGGATCCAGCTTTTCTTCGATTCACTCGATTACCCTGGAACCTCCGTTCACGAAGCCGGTTAGTGCTGACGTGTTTCTATTTGGCTTCGCTTGGACGGTATGCTTTCTTTCTTCATTGATACACTGGATCGGAAGACGTAATAATTTAAGGCATGTCAAAGACGACGTACTACAAGTTGACGAGTACGAGAAGTTTTAGGAATTCGGAAACGTCCTTTGCGGTGTCTGTGTGACTCATTCGGCTGCAGAATGAGTCGTGTGTGGGAACTGTTTTAATGTCATTGTTCCGGCTTTGTTTTCTCTTTTTTTCCCCGCAGAAAACTTATCTCCCGTAGGGTTCTGTTTAACCATATGATTTTAAAAAAGACGTTTATCTTCCTCAAGGGAACATGCATGGCAAGAGTGCCCTTCCTAGTGTCCTTTCGGGATGATCGTAGTCAGTTACGAGTTTCTGTAAGCGGCTTAGGCAATCGTCGCGTCCAGTCATAGAGCGCAGTGAACAAGCGGAACAGATGGACGGAAGTTCAACATTGAAGCAACTGAAACACTAACCATACAAATAGCAACCTTAAGCCTACTGCACGAATACGCGTACGGTTTATTCTGAAAAATGTTTGAAATGCATATTTTGCAGCATTCATAAAAACGCTCCACTGTGGCTCACGTTTTGGTGCCTTCGCCTTTCTTAGGAACGCTTCGTGATAGTTCATGAATACAATAAAATATTGATTATTCCTGACGAAGTGAAATGAACATGGATTTAAAAGTGTTTGAAAAAGGGTTCTCCAGACTTGTACACAAAGTGCTACTATTATTGTCGTTATTATTATTATTATTATTTTTATTATTTCGTACTGTGACGTCACACGTCTACAACACTTATTGCATGGTAATATCTTCAATACAGTACTCTTTTCTACATTGATGTCATGGAAAGCTCTGTTCCTTCGACGAAAAGTGCTTCAATACTCTTTAAAAAAGTTGGCCAGTAGAAAATATATAGTTAGTGTGATTAGTGTTTGCGGTGCTGTAAAAGTAAATGTAAAAGAATATGGTGCTCGGGGTTGCTCAATCCCTGTAGGGTGCAACATGCATTCGATTCCACTCGTAGTGTCGTAGAAGTGATTGAATGCATGGCTGGTCTAAAAAATGACTCACGGTGGCTTACCGATGTATCAGTTCATGCTGCTATCTTCTCAGACAAGTTTGGTGTCAATTCGCCGACTCCGGAGGAACAGAGCTTGATGAGCCCACGCGCAGGTATTGCAAGGCACCTTTAAGCACTGCACTACACGCTCTCTATGATTACTTTGCAAAAAAATGTCCCTTTTTGGTGGACTTAACATAGCAGCTGTTTGAAATGTGATAGAAATTCTTCTTAAGGAACGAAATGACTTGATGTGAATGAGTACCGTATCGGTGCTAGTCAAACGCCCATCGGCGTTTGCGGCCGTCCAGCTATTTGATTGGAGTAGAGGACTGTAGACAGCCGGAAACGGCAGCTCGGCTGACCACGCGAGACGCTGACGGTGGCGGCAAACGGATGGCGGGAGACGGACGGTCACAGCAGATCGACGACGCGCGACGGACTGTGACGGCGAACCGACGGCGGGCGACGGACGGCTGTAGGACGGCAATAGCGCGAGCGGCGGCGCGGAGACGCAGCGTGATCGTCTCGCGGCCGAAGACCATCCGCTGATCTCTCGTCATCATCATCGAAAACCATTGTTGCCACTCGTCATCCACCTCCGTTTTTCCAGCATTCATGTAGTCAATCGTGACTGTAGATGTTTTCTTGCTCTCAGAATTATTAGACCATAGCTTTTCTTCGAAGCTCGATCAAAGCCAATCGAATATATATGAAATTGGACATTCCCTATTAACTACTGTTCCTGATCCTTTTCCGGAGTTTTTTCCCGAGTAGGAAGTGTTGATGGTGCGTGTCGTCCCAGTTGCGATCACAGTGTGAGGTTGTGAATCGTTACCGATTCGGAGACATAAAATTCTCCTGCTCGGCAAACATGGCGTGCAGTTGTTTTTTGGAAGAACGTTTCAAACATCAACGATTTTTGTTGCTGAATTGATAATTGTGTCATCAATGGCTTGGCCAAGTTCCAATTTGATGCTGTGTTTAGCTTTTGTTCCCTTTTGAACGTGGCTTTTGTGATTGAACTTTATGGACTACCTATACTGAAGATGACTTCGTCTTTCTGTAAAAGGAAACTTTCCATTCGAAAGGAGAATAAGCCAGTAGGGAGCTTTTTACATTCTTGTTGAGGAAATGCAAGGTGTTATTTTATTCTTTACTCAAGAACAAGCTGATGTCCGGCGGATTTCGCCTTCCTCAGAGCCTGGGAAGGTCAAGTTAACTGCAATCTACCCAGCCAAACACTTCTATAACCATGGTTAACTTGACCTTTCCAAGCCCTGAGGAAGGCGAAATCCGCCGAAGCGTCAGCTTATTTTTGAATAAAGAATAAAATAACACCTCGTATTTGCTCAACAAGAATGTCAAAAATTATTTGATCAATGCCGAAGTTGATAGAAAGTCGGTCGTAGGAAACCATTAGAGATTTTGTTACCTGACTGGCAGGCCATACCGTTTAATTGTTAACAAAAACAACTTCTGATTCGCAGGGCTGGCTACTGTTTCTAACAGTCTGACCATATGTGACTGTCCCGAAGGTTCAAGAATCCATCCAATTGAGTGGTAACGATGCTCTAAAGACCTCTTCTTATACTGAAAGGGTTAGAAGTCTTCCGTTAAGCCTCTAGGTAAATATGAGAAATGCTGGAGTGGAACAAAAACTATCTAGTGCGACGATGCTCACTTGTTTATAAAAGGCTTTGGTGGCGTCGATCAATCATGAAACGAGAGTTCGAAAGTGCGTCCTTTGGAAACTAGTTTCTTCTCATAATTATTCCTTTCACCGAGGTTCGTTACGCATCGTCGTTTGCAACAAGTTATGCACTTAGTTTTTCTCGTAATCTACGCAAGTAGTAGAAAAGTATCTAATAGTTCTTGGTTGCGGAATCGTTTTTCGTCTTAATTTAGGTTCTTGTGGTCGTTTTTCATTAACCAGTATAAGAATGTTATGTTAGAGTTAGCAAAATGAATTCTCCTGGAAAGAATAAGGATAGAATAGGATAGATAAAGTTCTCGACGTTGATCATTGCCTGAACGATGCTTCATGCGTTCAATTCCATTCGCCGCATCGCATGGGTGATTGAATGCATATCTGGCCTTTGCAATAACTTGCGGCGGCCTACCAATGTAGTCAATCAGTGCTATTATCCTCCCAGACAAGTCTGGTAACAATTTCTCAATCTTGTACGGATAGAAGGCTTAGTGAGCCCTGGCGCGGGAGTGAACTAAAGGCAGCGTTTCTGTTGCCGGGCACCTCTAACAATTGCGCTACAGGGTTACATCAGTTTTCTTTATTCACCTAACTGGTTGTGATTCCGTAACTTTACAAATAACCATCAAAAAAATATGTGTATCGAGATGATGGAATATTTCTGAACGCTTTCGTGATGCTCGACTGCTTCTAAAACGTTTATTTCTTTCCAGGATATCAAACAGTAACGTTTGTAAGAGCGGCAGCATTTATTTTTACCCTTTAATTCAAAGCGTATTTGATTTCCGTGTAGACGAACAGGTTTATTTCTTTCTAATTGTGTTCTTTTGTGACGTTCTGACCATATTATCATTATTCGTGAAGTCGTCTTCCTTTTTTCTCCAAGGGATAGAATCCAAAAAACATTTAATCCTTTTGATAAATAAGTACTGCTTCAGGGACATCATGGGGTCCCTCGCTCGTTCGGAAGAGATGCGCTTCTGCCAGTTGATTGTCGAGAAAGAAGCCGCATTCAACTGTGTTGCTGAACTGGGCAAGCAACCTTACGTACAATTTAAAGATGTGAGAAAAATCGTATACTCAGATGTTCTTTTTTTGACAGCTTTCAAATTTCATTTAGAAATATGGTGCTCTCTTTTCCTTTTTTAGAATCGATCTTAAACATAACCCATCATACAAATCTTTCCCATGGCTAACGTTTCGGCTGCTTCACCTTAATCATAGCTACAACAACATAAGAAGGCCGTCCACAGTAGTTGTTTCATCTTTCGACATGGGTCTGCGTAGTCACATCAAGTTGAGAAGCAAATTGGAGCACCGCACTAATCAAAAAGCGTCATCAAACACTGCTGTTTTATACCGGTTTGTACGAGCTAACTGCAGTGCAGTGACCTGCCCTTATTCGGTGGTTCTCCTGGATATAGCACGGTCGTTGGTCAATTGCCATCCATAATTACTTTTTTATGGTGTCAATCGATCTTGGAGAAGTAGGATTGGCAGTATGGGAAACACAACGGAACAACAACGTCAGTGGCGAATTCCTTCGAACCTCGACTTAAATAATAAATGGCGTGCTTTATTGGTAAGACCACACGAGGTTGCTACAAATCTTATCCTGAATCCTGTGGAGCTGACGAGAGATCAAGCAACTTCGGCGTTGCTGGGGTCTTCTTCACAAAGGCAGTGGTGAGTTGTGCTACTTCATGCGTAGGATGCTCCACTATACTTGATTCGTCTCGACGCGAGGGTTTTGAAGATCAACATCGCATGAAGAAGCGACAGCTGTGGACACTCATATCGAATGATCATGACTCTGATGAAAGCTAAGCCGCCAAAACGCTGGTCATCAAAAAGCTTCGTTATAAACTTGTGTAAGCCTATCAATAAAGCAAGACATTGATTATCCATGCGAAAGTTCAGTGAAAGTCGGTGCTCACACAATCCATTCATCTTACTTGATGCAGCCGTCTTTCAAGGAAAACAACCTCGTTTTTAGTAATAACTATATTTTAAGATTACTAAATTGCCCCAAAATCCACTATGAAAATCCATGGACAATGGATAAGAGTTCTCGCGGTTTAGAGCTGCACGTAGAAAAGTCATATAGAATAAAAAGTTTATGAACTTAGGAGTAGAAGTTGTTTTCTTTGAAGGAATCATTCAGAATAACCACGGGGCCAAACTGTAAAATAAGTAAACGAAAAAATCAGACATGTTGTGCTAGCGATTTCATTTGATCAAGAGTCTGAACTCTGAGTCTCCATGACGGAAAGTATCGGAAGTGCTTGATAGATAGTCAGTGAGTATTGTGCTTTCTAACAAATTAAATTTCGATTGTTTTTAGTAGAACAGAATTTCTTTGACTAACTTAGCTTCTCATAACTGGAAAACCAGATCTCTCCGAACTTTCTAGTTTCTAGAGGGTTTTTCTCTAGCACGTCACGTCAATTAAATGGCATAGCGGAAGAAGAGGGAATTTTTTGTTCAATACGGTCATGGAAAATCAGTCTTCCAACCTAATTTTACTACCATATTAAGCTCAATATTTTTGAAATCGTGGTATTCACAATGGATTGAATATAAAATAATATAAATGTAAGAGCATGTGAATGTTAATACAAATTACACACTATTCAGAATCTTTTAAAGGAATAGGTAAACAATACCATAAACTAGAAGAAAACTATAAGAATTAAATATGATCAAGAGACAGGTATATATA